CATGCAGGAACAATTTACGTGGGTTTTTTTTTTTTTTTTAATTGATCCATGGAGCATGACTGGAGACTATTTCTCTAATTGATTCTCTAAAATAGTATTAAATGCTAGAAGATTAATTTATTTTATAAATCTTGTACTTTTCTTTTTTAAAAAATTTACAACTACCTGTCATTTCAAGCCAAAATCCCATGTCAATATTTCTAAAACTAGAGTCAGCCTATAATACCAAGAGACATAATTGGAGACAAAATTTTTTGTGACTTATTCTAAAATACCTGGGAATCCAAAAATGATATTGAGCTCAGAAAATTATACAGAGCATTATATGTATTTCTATAACATATAGAATTATTCAATATACTCTGGATCATGACTTCCTATAGCATAGGGTCCCCTCGTGTCTTGCTATACCATATGTGCTGTCACCTGTTAGCTGAGAAGGAGAATGAGCAAATCATCTTACAAGAGTGAACGTACTTTTAGTAACAAGCTATAAAAATAAAAAGTAATGACAAAAACTGTTCATGAAAACTATTAACTAATAAAGATTCACCTTTGAGACCCTTGGGGTCAGAATCAGTGAAAATTAGAGGTGGGGAAGAATTACGTATCCCATCCTACTTCCAAAGAGAGCAGCAGTCATCCCTGTACTAGAAATACAAGAAATTCTAAAGTACGCTTCCCATGTAATTTGTTCTAGAAAAACCGTAACAGGACATAAAGTTCTCTGTGTAGGAATAGATGCAAAATATTCAGCGTTTCTTCAACAAAACAGGGAAAACTGCTTATATACCTACACATAAACAGTTGTAAAAAGTCTGTACTGCGTTCTATATAGCAGTATTAGGGGTATTTCTCAAACATTCTAAAAACCTCCTACTTTGGGTGGAAGGAAGGAAGGCAGGGAAAAAACGAAAGAATGAAGGGAAAAAGAGGGGGAACGAAGAAACAGAAAAGCCAGGGCAGGTTTTCAGCAAGACAAGCATGTATCTTGGTTTATATAGCTCAGCCTTTCAGGAGCAGGACAACACTTGATGTCACCACTGTATGTCTACAACTTTCTTCCTTATGAATGCTAAGTCTGTCCCGTGGCAGTGACAAAGGTAACATGCCACCAGTGAGAAGTCAGTTCAGTCCTCCTTTGGTTATAGAGCAATCCAAGGAAAAAATGGAGTTCTATGACATTCTCCGAAATGACTGCATTTCCATACAGGCTTACTGAGCAGAATCAGCATGTCTTTGTCCTAAGCACTCATGGCACACCTTAGGATGGAAAGCTAAGTCTACCAAGGACTCACAGAGTTTTAACATTTTTATTGTTACAAAAAAAAAAAAAAAAAAAAAAAAAAAAACAAAGAACAAACAAACAAACAACTGTGTGGTCCACAGCACACCAGGGCTTATTCTGCATGCTTGCAAGCACCAAGACCACAGCCTCTAGGTAAGGAGCCAGGCAGGCTCACAGGAAAGCTCAGCCAGGACAGAAAGCAAACATCCAACACAGCAAACGCCTGGGAACTGATGGGCTTGCAGTGGGAAACCTGCCCCTCAGCAACTGCTGCAGGACCTTCACCTCCGCCCTCGGAGATGCACACTTTCTGCCTTTCGGCTCTCATTTATCTGACTCATAGATAAGATTGATGGATTGCTGGCCTGCTAGTAAGTGTGAGAGAATGCGCGGAGGGAGGGATTCATTTAGCAATACATGACGATAATTCAAAACATGCTCAAGGTTGAAAAGCATAACGACTTGTCAAAGTTTCACTCATCAGCTCCTGCCACTTTTCAGGCCGTTGTGAAGTACAGAATAGAGAGCGCTGGATGAAATCAGGACAGAATTGCAGGTCGTTGTCAGAGGAAATTGAAATACAGGAGAACCAAAGCTTACATGACTTTAAAATTTGTCAATATATGAGTAACTTCTCCAAAAAGCACACTTCAGAACCCAAATCAGCAAATTCCTCTTAGCAGGCAGTGCAGGACTAGACCTTCGTGTGGTCTCCTTTTTGCTTCCCAGTGTCTGAGGTTTAGTTTCCTAAAGGGGTCCAGTTAATCATAACAGCCCCCATGCCATTTAACCGCGAATCCGCAGCGCAGGCCTGCTAGAGCACAGTTCACAGCCTCCAGAACTGACAACAGCCCACTCACTAGAGCCCCCATTTACAATGTCCTAGACTGGGGCCAGACCCACTTAGCAGGTGCTAAATTCAGTTTTAATGATGGACCTAAGCCATCTCCATTGTAGAGTTTGACCTCAGGCACCAAAAAGCTCTCACAACAGATAATAATAATAATAATCTCTTATTTGCCGGGCAAAGACTTTCTTAGCAATAAGTGTGGGGTGCTTTCGGAAGATCCTTTTGTGGTTCTTTATCTTATCATGAGGTCAATGAAGCTGATACACATTTATGGATGTAAAGGGGCCAGTGACTCGTGTGTCATGCTGGGGTGACGAAGGTATATGATAGACTCCATATTTAGGTATTTATGGAGAGACCATAACCTGCCCTCTGTGCTGGGTGCTATAAATATTTTTTGTGGTTTTGTCTTTAATAATTTCACTGAATGCATACCACTTTTTACATTATATAACCAGATAACCAGTGCAGTCATAAAGTTATAAAAAGATAAAACCTTTAGTAGAAACATATACGCATTTTAGCTTTCATGTTTTGTCCTGTAGCAGGATAGTTGGTTATTTGTACACATTTAGGTTAATATAACATGAAGAGAATAGTTCACTTATGATGCAAATAATCTCTGTAAGTTCAGTTTTACAACAGGGTTGGAATGAATAAAACCTACTACTATATGTTATAATACAATTTAATGATTCCTTATTCAAATATTAACAAACTTAGTGACCAAAAACTCAGACTGAAAGTGTCAGTCATATCACTTTGTGGAAATGTAGTCATGGCTTTCAAGACCACAATCAACTAATTAAACTAAATTATAAATTCTGTGAATCAGGATACAATGAAAATGGCTTAGGTTCTTAGTAGCTTTATCCTAGCCTGTAATTAGGGTATCAAAGTATTACTTTTAAATAGTGTTTCTAAGATATATGTCTTTTGTTGCCTATAATACTTTTAAGTTATGAATTTTATTCAATTTAAAAATAATATAATTTTTGATAATTTAATACTTTAATAATTTATAATAATTTTACTCAATTATTAACTGATTCAATTTAAAAATCTAAAATATTAAATTAAATTAAGGAAACTCTTGGAATGTAACAAAGAAAATGACGGAGAATCTATGATGACAAAATTATTTCAAAATGGAATACTTTTATATCTTTTTATATAGAATATTAATCTATATAAAGAAAACTGATACATCCTGAATTTATAACATTTTAGAGTGATCTCTTTCATTATATATCATATGCAATGAAAGATTCTAGTAATACTAAATGAATAAACTACCATCTTCAAACTTGTATTTGTAATTTAATGTTTCTTTTATACTGTATTCCCTAATATTTGAACTGCATTCTCTTTACTGAGTTGTCTAAAAATATTCCAGTAGACTTGGAGGTAACCAAAAGGGAAATTGAGATAACAGTGCAAATATAATGGAGTTAATTACTGATTTCATACATACTTTTAATTTGCTTCAGCAGTTGCTGGGTGTATTTAACACTTTTATACCCTGTAAGAGTATACGTCATAGTAAGTACAACTAATTGACCAGATCATCTGTTAAAATTGTTAAAGATGGGCTGGGGATATAGCTCAGTGTCACAAGTGCCTGCTTGGCACATACAAGGTCCCAAGCTTGATTTCAGTACAAAGAGAAAAAAAAATGTTAAAGATACCCACTTTTTACTCCTTTAAAATGTGTCATTACATTAAAAGATATACTAAATGATCTCAACATACATTTTGTAAGAACTTCAAGATTATAAGTAGGATATGATAAAAACAGCAATAGTTTTCAATATTTTTGTTGTAATAAAATAAAGAGATGCAACTTTGAAATAATACATAAATGTCATCAGAATATCATTATTATACAACATACAATTATAATTAAATTAAGTGGAAATATTTCTTAAATTCCATGGAAAATTTTTAAAATTCCTTTCTGGGGGACACAAAGGCCATGAATATTATACAAGCAGGCTAAATTTTAAGATTAAACAGGAAAATCTAGATAATTGCATTTAATTATATTGACAATATATTCATTTGAAAAGTATAGTAAGTTTGATCTTCTGTAGCAAACAAAGGTGGAAAGAAAAATGTCAGGTTTATTTTTATAGATGACATATCTAAAAATAAATTTATGGTAGGTTCAGAGATAAATAATGTCACTTTAATGGGGAAAAATTAAGAAACCACATGTAACCATCGACTTTTAAGGCAATACACATATATTTAGTCAAAATCTCAAACAGTGCTGGCTTCCTCACTCTTTAGTATGTTCATTCCCAAAACTATACATTAATTTGGAAACCCTAGAATACTGTGTGACTCTCAAAAATTACATCTTTAAGTAATGAATAATATTTACTAAATTGCAAAAGAGTATATCAGGGTCACCCAAAATGCTGGAAGAAGAAAAATATTTAATGAAATAATAAATTTTATTATTAGTATGATTTTCACTGCAAATTATGTCATAGTGGTATTCAATCTTATGGTAATTCCTAAATGATATGATATTAATACAAAGCATAAATTTTCCTATTTTTCTCAGGAGACAACCTATCGGTTTCTCACCAATGCTGAAATATCAGTTGATGAGCCAAAGGTAATGGGTTTAACTTTGTAAATGTAAAAACACATACTTTATTACACTGATAGGGTACTTAACGCTGCTAGTTGTGCATGGTGAAAATCTCTGCCTTGTTTAATAGAGCAGAATTTATGGAGGGAGTGAGATGGAGGAGAGGTTTTTGGTTTTCTGATTCCCATGTTCAAGAGGGGAAGAATCAAGTAAACCAGCAGCTGACACGACGACATCATGGTACTCAGTGCAGTACTCACCGGAGCCACAATGCTATAGTGGATGCAGAACCCTGGCTCTGCAGGGAAATACTCATCGGACACAAATCTGATCCTGATCTGGTTTCCTTTGGAAATCTGCTTTCCTGGTGCAGCCCCAGAGCCACACCAGCGGCCCAACACACTTCCGTCACTGGGCTCCTCCACCTCTACAAAGTCGTACCTGGAACGGGACAGGGAGACAGACAGAGTGTCAGGGTCACTGCGGCAACCAGATCTCCAGCCTGCAGAGGCATCTATGCACTCCAGCAATGAGTTCATCTGGAATTCAGTCCAGCAATTGTAATGGTACAGTCAAAGAAAACAAAAGAGAGAGAGAAAGAAAGATGAGATGCCAATTGAAGTATCCGTGCAAAGTCCTCCTGGTTTGCCATTCACGGATTCCTAACACAATGAAGACCCCTTTGGACCTCAGCACTGGCACGCACCTCATACGGAGTTACTCAGCTTCCTTTCATGCTAGATGGGACAAGCATTCCACTGTCTGCTCTTACCTTCGGGCAGCTACTCTTCCATCCCAGGTACTCTCACCCCTTGGCTTCCTGCCCTCATCTGGGACGTGGGCCTTTCTGAAGTCACCTCAAGGTGTACAAGATTTTCACACAGCCTTTGTACACCACTGCCCTGAGAGGTCTCCTGGTTCTTGTCACGCTGACACTTCTCTTCTCTTTGTATAAACAGGCTTTTAATATTAATCAATCAATCTACCTATGAGACACTCTCACCTTTCTTAAATCCATATATTACAAACATACGAAATAAATGTTATAAACAAATGTTAACTTTAATTTGGAAGATCTGACTCAGAAGTACTTACATGGAAGAGTATTGCCACCAAACAGGATGCTCTGGAAATCTCTAGAAATGTTTTAGGGTGGTTCCATGATTAGGAGTGAAACTCCAGAAATGTGGTAGGCAAGGTCCAGCAATGCTCAGAACTGCAAAGTCTAGAGATCCCCAAGCTTCTCGGATGTTTCACCAGACATCTCTTTCAGGTAAAAGTTTTTCCAACATTTATCTGGGTCTGGAACCTGACATTACCTCATGGCTAGACACATACATGTTTTGTGCTGTTTAAGTTGAAGGTAAAATTTCCAGAAATAGAAGGGCACCTAAGTAAGTGAAGAGAAGATTTTATATTTTGTTTGGAATTTTTCCAAGAGTTTCTCGTTACTTTGGAGCAGCAGGCCACTAGGAGAAACACTGGTTCCACCACCGGCCTCCTAATCAAGACAATTAGACATATTCCTATTAGTCTGTATCTACTGCTAGCACATTCACAGTAAGTGTGCTTAAGAGCATTCGACCACTTCCTTCTATTTTTTCTGGTATAACTGTTAATGTGCACTGATGTCCTGACATACATTATTTTGACATGAATTAGTTCCTATTATTTGAGATACATATGACATCCAGACTATTATGTTTATTTTTAAACAACTTCACTCAAATGAGACCACACACATGGGATAGTGAAAACACTGCGGACTCAGAATTGCAGGAAGTAAAGTTTTCTCCTTCTCTACTCTACATCTCTCCTACTCCTCAGACACCTACACTGTAAGACGAACTGGGAACCGGGAAAGCAATGACTATGAAAACCCAAATTAAAAGAATAGAGAGGATGGAACCTCCATCATACAATGCAAAGGAGCCAGGATCCTCTTCCCGCAGGAGGGAGAGTATATGTGTCTGTGTGTCTGTGTGTCTATGTGTGTGACCTGGAAGGGTCGGCGCAGGAGAGGAGGGAGTCCAGTAGGGCTGACTTAAGTAGATGCCTCAGACACACCTGTACAAACGTTTATAACGATCGTGTCTCTCAGGGTAGCTGTCACCGCGTGCTCACCTCCCATCTGCTGTATGCCTGGGAGGTAACCCTGTCTTTTGTGGGCCTTCACCACTCATTCTGTAGATGTTCATGAAGCACTGACTTGGTATTAATTGCTGTGCTGCAGTCTCAGGAAACAAAGAGGAAACCAAAGCCACTCTGGCTTTGGGGTTCATAAAACGCATCTGTAAGAACCTTGCTGCAAGCGCACCATGCCAGACTATGGGACACCAATGGAGGGGAACTTTACACTGCAAGATTAGGCTCCAGTTACAGAGGGCCTGACATCTGTCAATGAATAGTGACCGACCAGGGTGAAAAGGGAGGGACGTGGAAATGCTTTCTAGCAAGAAGGAAAATACATGCTCTGTAATATAAGAGCAAAAGGATCAGGCATGGCCGGCCAGGAACAGAGGAGGAGGAACAAAGAAGCAGAAGGAGACCCAGGTGGAAAGGCAGGCGCAGGTGAGAAGGCTTTGGTTTTGAAAACTACAATTTCTGGATCATACTTTGGAAGTCAACCTTGTAAGCAGAAGTGGGTACAGTTTTGAAGGGCCTCAAGTTTCTTTAAAATATCAAGTCAACACATTACAAAGTAGAATTTCACACATACAATCTAGATTTGTCATTTGTCCTAAATTTGAAGCTCTGGCAGTAAGAAACATCATGAGCTTTACTGTAATTCCAGGATGGTTCACCACCAGAATAGGTGTCAAATCCAGGAGAGGGGTGCCTTTGTTTAATTATCTTCCCTTTCCCAGTTCCCACAGGGCAGGCATAGTGAAGACTGCTCTGGTAGTCTATGAGGAAAGGTAGGAGTCCTGGCCTCCAGGCCAACTGACCAACTGATGCTGTGGCTAAGTGGAACCACTTGAGTTGAGCCCTGAACTTTTTGGTTTTGTAAATTCTCACAGGCTTTCGTGCTTCTTTATGGTACTAGGTCTCTTCTGTATTTATATTAGTAGGCCTGGTTAGCATGGAGTTTGCTTCCCTTGAAGAGAAGCCCTTGGGGCCTTCAAGAACAGGAGGAAGGCACACATAGGATCATGGCATATTTGAGGGATGCCAGGATCTTGTGGGGACCCCATGCTTGGTGATGACACAGAGCTCCAGGAAGAGGGCAGAGACACTAATGTCCACCAGAAGTCAAAGCGGTCAGTAGTGCCGAGTGTCAAAGAAAGATCAAAGAGCAGGAAAGCCAGAGAGCACCGGTCCATTGGGTTTGACCGCCGTGAGGTCATTCTCAATACACAGTTTGGGCAGAATGCATCAAACCAAAAGGTCTCTGGAGAACATTTTCAGAAGAATATTTTGTAGTCTTTCAAATACAGAAAGTATCCTAAGAGACAAAAATTCATATTCCAGAAAGTAAAATTAACAAGGTACACAACTGTCTTACTACACATTATTTTCATTTCTATTTTTTTAAGAAATGGGTTTATCTGATGCATAACTTCTTTAAATGTACTTGAGCAAGGTTTTTAACCACATGAGGGAATATCTGGTTTACAAGTGCTAAGTATTTACTAAAGAGCAAGTAAATCTCCAGTGCCTGCTGTAAAAGTCTTAAATTTGACCTCATTGAACCCCACACACAAAGACCACTGGCCTGCAAATAAGAAGGTGATGAGTTCATTATTACTTATTTCTGAAGATTTTGTACTGAATTTGATGCCATTTGAAAAACAACCTTTGTAACAATTTCTAGTTTTACAGCAAGACAGCTGGCAGTGAATTCTCACATGCTCATGCAAGTCTGAAACAAACATTTATCACAGTGCTTTAAAACCTCTATGTAATTTTGCATTCCAAGAAGGTTACATGAAAGGAACAGCTAAAAGCTTACCGGGCTCTCTGTCTATACAACAGTGAAGTTTAGTACAGGCTCCCAACTTTCACGTTAATGAGGCATTTCAAATTTATTTTCAAAATTATTGTCATGCACTAATATACTTCTAAAATTCTCTTACTTATTCTGCTATTAATATTATGGTCATTTATTATTCATTTATTAAGATTTTGTTTTTACTTAAAATAGTAACTCTCCTTGTTAAAAGTGATATGATTACAAAAATATCCTTTTTCCTCTTTCTTTCTTTTTTTTTTTTCTCCTTTTTTGTTTAACTCAGATTGAGGATAAGACAGAAACAGGCCAACCTCAGGTGTCAGAGGTAGAGGACTTCGCCGTAGCAGGGGTTAGTTAAACTCTGTCACCATAGAGATTCAGTAAAACACATCAACTGAGCGTATACCTAGAACAGTGCCCACAGCTCAGTTTTACTACCTTGCAATTAAAACCAAAGTATCTATCTGTGTGCATGATTGCTACCTGATATCAGGCTGCCTTTTAACTTATCAAGAATGTAGATCGAGGCTGGGAAGAGAAGACTGCATGGAATCCAGCTATCTTTCCTAATAATCTGAATTTTTTTTTTTTTTTTTGTTTCTTTTTTTGTCAATGCCATTTGGAGAATCTGTGATTCACACAGAAATCATCAGTTGATGCACTATAAAAGACAGAAAATCATCAAGTAGGGAATGAAGAGAGAAAATAATGGTGAAAGAACTAACTGCAGGTTATGGAAAGGAAACAATTAGAGTAAGCAAGTTTTACACATAAAACGCAGCCATCATTACATTCAGAAACCCATCCAGGCTCAGGTGCCGGTCCTGGAGACACACTAATCCATACCATACACCCTCAGGTATTAATTTTCAAGGAGCAGACTTGCCCACATCAGTGTTTAAAGGATTTACTAAGCCTATTTCACGAGCCAATCAAACACCACTTTGTCCCAGCAACTTGATCCCCAGCTCACCATGCTAAGTGGTTTACAATGACCACTCCCTTTCTCCACGTACCCTGGGGACCCAGGGAGGATTTATGCTCTTTTATGTTTAACAAACAAGTCTGGTGCTGCAGACAAAATTTTCATTCTCATGGGGGAATCTAAAAACTACAAGGAGGGAGAAGCTGCTTTCTTACTCCAAAGAATTGGGGGGAATATTCCCATGCAGTGGATTCTCTGGTAAACACAACTGTCAGATCCCCACTTTCTTCAGCAAAAATAAACCAACCCAGCAAAACAGGCTGTTTCTAGCCCATCCTAACTAAACCTCTGTCACTTAAATCTACCCCGTGAGTTATCAAACCTGACAGTCATGTGAAATCCAGCCAACAAGTGAATGTGGATTATCAAAACTGCTGGCCCGGCAAGTGCCAACTGGAGTCCGAGCTTGTCAGGAAAGGTAATAAAATTAATAAGATGACAATTATTCTGCAGCTTCTTTAGCTGGTTTCTACTTCAGCTTAGGAAAATGCAGCTCACCCACAG